ACACTGAGGATTGCACCCTTTGACAAGGCCACAGAGGGAGTTTAACGTGTTCTTTCATCCATGGCACATGTTTTCTTATTTGCTTTCTCACTTTTTATTTAATGTTAGCAACTGCTGATAATTAAAGCTTAGATATATTAACTGGGGGTTGTAAGATGTTCATATTTTAATTTTTCCCCACTTATTTTAACTGAATTAATTTTATAAAAATACTTTTCCTTGCCCTCAATGAAGTCCAGTGACAGGAGTTCACAGAGGAAAGAAAAATTATTTTTCTCTTTATTACTTAATTTTAGAGTTAAATACTTCATTGTCTTCTGATGACAGATTGTTTTTAAGTTATCATAATAAGCTCATGGACTTAACCATATTTGATGGGTTCCAAACCTTTGTAATTAATACCCTTTTCAGAGCTTAAATTCCATCTTTGACCAGTGGGAAAGTGCTCCAAGTTGTCTCCTATTTTTGTTTTGCATTGTTGGGAATCGAACCCAGGGCCTCATGCATGCCAGGCAAACATTTTACCACTCAGCTACAACCCGAGGGCCCCAAGTTATCTCTTAAGGCCTTCTGACAAGACTTCATATTAATCTTTGATTCCTTCCTTGAAATCTGGAATGAAAAGATGCTTTAATCTCATCTTACATATTTCCTACTCTTGGTTTGGAATCATCCTTTTCTAAATAAGTCTTCATCTTCTTTTAGTAGAAAATGTTTTTAAGATCATAATCTGAGAATTAGAAATGATTATTGCTATTGTCTTAATGTTCTTAAGTCTTTTTAATTGACAGAGCAAGGAAATTTTTGTGTATGTATATATTTTAAATTTTATTTGGAAACAATTACAAACTTACAAAAAGAAAAATTAAAAATATTAAACATTATATATCCATTATCTATCTGGACTTCTATATTATTAATCTTTTACTCTCTTGCTTTATGATTTTTTTTCTTTTGTTATCTACACATGCACATGTAAATATATTTTTCTGAAGCTTATGATAGTAATTGCATGCATCACAGCACTATACTAAGGAAATAAGTATTTGCTAAGATAAAGATGTCCTTGTATGTCATCACAATACAGCTGTCCACCTTATAACACTAATCTCCTGTCCATATTCCTTGTTAAACTACCTGATAATATTCTTCATAATCATTTTCCCCATCTAGTATAGGATCTAGTTTATAGCAAGTATTGCCTTTATTATCATCTCTTCAAATAGTCTGAAACATTTTATTGTCTTTACTGAATAATGAGAATAATCTTTCTCATTATCACTGCCATTTCTAATCTTTCATATCATGACCCTGTCTCTGTTTAAAAAAAAAAACAAGCATTCATCATGATTATATATAATCAGCTATGAACTAAAAAGTGGTATTATATACCCTCTCAGGATATTATATCTGGAAGTACATTATGAACATCTTTCCTTTCTGGGATGATGTTAATTTTGATCACACAATCTAGGTGTGCTATATTTCTCTACTACACCGTGATTGGTTTGTTTTCTTCTTCCCTCTCTTTTGTTGAGAAAAGGCTAATATGCTCACAATTTCTCCTATATTTTTCAAGTCATGAGTGATTCTTTGCTAACCATTTTTATCATGATGGGTATAAAATGATCAACTGTAGGAGAGGGAACTGACTCGGAAAGGAGGATGAGGGAATTTTCTGGAGTGTGAAGGCATCTTGTTACCTTGAAGGGGTTAGACTGCAATTCAACGCATTTCTGAAAATCCACAGAATATTACAGTCAAGAGTTGCAAGTTTCACAATGCAAATATTACTAAAAATTATAAACAAACATTGAACTCAAATGAAATGTATGCTAAAGTACTTAGGGATGTATGTAACTTATAATGAAATGCATAAAAAATAAGAAGAATTGGTGATTATGTAATAATGTAATAAAGGAAGCAGCAAAAGTTAACAATTATAAAATTAGTTGATGGATGTAAGTATTTACTATACCATTATTAGAATTTTGCTATGTGTTTAAATATTTTCATGATACTGAGTTTTTTTTAAAAAATGGTTTATAAAGACTATAAAGAGTGTTTGCTAAATGAGTCATTATAACTTGAGATAATTTTCTCATGTTAGCATAATATCTAGATTTTGAAAGTGCAACATATATAAGATTCTGGATGTGAATAAAGTTATTGTGTTCATCCACGACTAAAAAAATTTTTTAAAGGTCACTTCATAAGACACTAGAGCAGTAACAAAAACAGTACTTCCAAATAATATATGTGTGTGATTTCAAATGAGTACATTTAAATTAATAAATAGTTTAATTAGAGGTCTATTTTCTCCATATCACTAAGCAGTTTACTTATTTAAGAAGGCCATAGCACTTTCTTTTAATTAAATGTAGTTTACCTTTTATTTTGAAATATACACAATAAAGAAGCCAGTTTATAATGTTATTAAAATAATTAAAAACAATTTTAAACAGCTATACAAGTTACATATGCTTTAAAATTATTTCTCTGCTCATTTAGGGGCACTTAGTTCATTTAAAATTTTTAGTATAAGCACTACTATAATAATGGCTTTATACACATACTGCCAGCATTTCCAGCTACATCTTTCTGAATTTTTCATACATATAAAAAATGATTTTCTAGAAAGTCAATAAGAATGTATGAGTCCTCTCAATAAGAGTCACTGCAAGTTCACCAATGACAGAAAACTCTTTTAAAAGCCTTTAGCAATTTTATATGGCAGTTTTTATTAAGTACTTCTGTATGCTAGGTACTATGTTATAGTGGAGCCTGTTTTGAATATTTCTATTCTGTCTTATAGTTAAAGATCAGCATTTCACTGGCTTAGAAAAAGCAGCAAGCAGTTCTTTATAATTTTATATGTTAAAATGAGTTAGAGTTGCAAGACAACTTGACTTTTTCTGTACCTGCCTAATCTTTCTCCTGTCCCCTCTCTCTCCTTTTGTCTGTCTCCCCCTGTAGCCGCTTCTCTTGGTATCCCTGTTCTCTGAATTTGTGTGTATATGTCCTTTTAATTGTTTTGGTAAGCTCTACATATATTATTGTGCTGAAGTCTAAAAGCATCTTTCACACTTTTGGAGCTCTATCCATCATTCTTCAGTTATGTTTATAAATTTTCCAATGATTAGATCTGCTGTTTATTGATTTAGTTGATCTTGTCAGATAAGCTACTATTTAATAAACTTCATTCCACTATTCTACTTAGAAACATTAGAAAATAAGTTTTTTTAAGAAAGAAATTATACTTAGAAACAATACCTAGAAAATTTATTTTTCACCATTGGACTCTGCTCATTATTAATATTTTACCTTTCTTTCTTCTCTCTGATTTCCTGAAGTTACTTATTTTCTTTCTTTTTAAGTTTAATGATAGCTACGAACTTTTACCAAATATAGCACTATTTTGGCTCATTCTGTACATACATATTAATAGTTATGTACACACTGTCTACAATTTTGAGATATTCATAATATGCTGGAAACAATGCTGCAGATTCAAAGTAGGACTACATTTCTGTCAATTTTACCATAGATTTCTAAGTTAACGTTTTACATATTTACATAATTCTCAGCTTTGAATTATATGTCCTTTATTACCACAAAATTATCATCTTGCTACCATGGACTAGTTTCTGACTTATCCAATTCTTATCCAATGTTAATACGATAATTCTTGCATTTTCAAAAGCATTTGTAACTGATATTTATTCAACTACCATAGAATGTCATTATACAACCTTTCATATTTGAAATACAATTTTACTAAACCTTTAGTGTTGTCTTTTCCCAAAGGTTTTAACTTGATACTTAAACTCAATTATTTTTATTTTTCTTATGTGATCTCACATTTATAGTCAATTTGATATCTATAGCTATTATTTAAATATCTCTTTTGTGGTAAGTGCTCACTGCTGAATCTTTTATTTCTGAAATTCCTTATTCTATTTATCATAATTTGGCACCATATCCTAATCAGTTGGAGTATAATTGCAACTAAGTTTTGTTCAGCAAGGCAGTAAAGATGTATTATTCAGAAGGTGGGTTCTTTTGGTTGTCCTATCAGGTGAAAAATAAAGTTGTATCATGTAAAATAAAAACTAGAACTTCTCTGCTTCCAACTGTAGATGCCTGTCTATTGCTCTCTCAAAATTTCTGAGATGCAATTAGGTAACATCTAATTGCTTACAGGAATTCTTTAAGCTCTTGAGGATATGGCCACAGATTGAAAAAAACTCTATTTTTTTCTTTTTTTGGAACTGGGGATTGAACTCAGGGATACTAGACCACTGAACCACATTCCTATTTTGTATTTTATTCAGAAACAGGGTCTCACTGAGTTGCTTAGTACCTTGCTTTTGCTGATGCTGGCTTTGAACTCTCCATTCTCCTGTCTCAGCCTCCTGAGCTGCTAGGATTAGCAGTGTACACCTCAGTGTCCAGCTTAGAATTCTTTTTCATTGATTTTTGTCTGAAATATGATTGAACCTTTTCCATCTATATACACAGACTTTTTCAACATAACCAAAAAAAATTGTTATATTCTTTTGGCTCTTTCTTTTTAAAAACCGTTTATAAGGAAATTGCCCCTACCCTACAACAATGTCCAGAGTGAAGATGACTCATTAATGCCAGAAAAAGAGAGGATTTGCTTTTTAGGGGCATAATACAGAATAGACTGAAAAGAAGTCACAGGAGCAGCTATGCATGGGGAGAGGATCTACAATATACTTGAATATAATAAAGGAATAGCTCAGCAATTTTGTGGAGAAAATACAGAAAAGGGGTGGAAAGCACTATGACGCCATTCATACAAGGTATGTGTAGCAAAAACCTAGATTACTGACTACATCATTTTTAGGTAGCTAAGATTCTAATAAGAGCTAGCAAGCATTATTCTACAGTATTTAAATTTCATGTATTAAAAAATCAATCCAGAATGAGCTACCAAAAGTTAAACAGTTGAATATAAATTATCTAAAACCAACCTGTATAACTTTCATCATCATCAGACAAAGGCACCTCTCTTTTTAGCAATAACTCCAATTCCTCTGTTTCTGCTACATCCACTGGGCGCTCCCCATGTTTATTAGCTTGAAATGGGTTTCCACCATGACGAAGCAACAGTTTCACTATCTGCAACATTAAGTGGTAGGAAGATTTAGTCTCTTTATAGATGATATCGTTTTGATCATTCTCTTGATAACACAATGTTCTTCCCAGTGTTAATTCTACTCTCCATCCAATACTTGCATCCTATTCTAAATCATTATTCTCTTCCAGTTCCATTTTCACTGACACCTGCTTCCATGTGAAGACTGGCATCTACTAAAAAAAACTTCTGCCTTGAAGTTTAAACAGGGGCCTTTTAATGCTTAATTTCATTGCTTTTCTTCCTGTTTTATCATAAAATCAATAAGAATTTGAATATCTATTAATAAGTACTATTTCAGGTTCAGAAAAATCAATGAGTAATAACATAGCCACTTGAATTGTGGAAATTCAAGTAGAAATCACAAAGGATCTAGTTCCCTTCTTTTTAAAGCTAATACTATATTATAAGTGCCCTAATCATCCTTTCTTCCTCATCTCCCAGGAATTTCATCTGTCATATGCCCACACAATTTACTTAGAACTAATGAAGCTTAGACTTTAAGGCCTTTCATTTTCACGGGAACCTTACAATTCCTTACATCTGATTTTGTATTCACTCTTTAAATTTTTTTCAAAAAGGACCCCTTCTTCCCATCAAAGTATATAAACTTCAGGAATCATAAAACCAGGATCTGTCGGGTTAGTCATCATTTCTTTTCTTTTCTTTTCTCTTTGTATACTCTTCCTTTCAATATTTTTGAAACCCTTTTAGTTTGGCTTCTATCTAGAAGACAATCTTTTCAGTTCATGTCTCTTTCTACCTTAAAAAAAAAAAATAATGTCAATGAAGAAATAAAACAAAGACAAAGAAAAAACTGTGTTCAAAACTATATTTCCAATCCTAGATGCTTGGGAATCTGAGGCAACAGAAAGGCAAGTTTGAGGTCAGCCTGGGAAACTTAGGAAATTCTGTCTCAAAATAAAATAAAAAATAATTGGGCATGTAGCTGAGTGGTAAAGAGTCTGCCTGCCATGCAAAAGGGCCTGGATTAGACACTCAGTACTACCAAAAAAAAAAAAAAAAAAGAAAGAAAGAAAGAAAAGAAAAAAAGAAATACAACAACAAAAAATCAAGTTCCTGAAAAAAATGTTTATCTTTGCAGCCTTCTCTTTTTAAAATAGCTCTTCACTCTTCTACCTGCCTGCATCAGTCCTATGAAGTACCTATCCCTGATCTACTTTTTCAAACTTTAATATATATCACCTCTTTAGTGTTCTCACCTACTCTGACAGAATGTGATCAATATACAATTCACTCATTTTCATTCTCTTGTTCTCTTAATGCTAAACCCAAATATTCAAATGTTCATTGGATATATCCAATTGAGTATATGTGTATTTCAATACAAAAGCCCCAAATCAACAAGTTTCAAATTAAGTTTATTAAAACTTGTACCTTTAACCTTGCCATTCTTAGTGAAATCTACCCATTTACCAGAGTTAGCCAACTATTATCAATTGTGACTCCTTCCCATCTCTTCTTGTTTTGATCTTTTACTTCCACTGACATTGATGTGATCTATGTGACACAAACCTACATTAAAATTTATTAATATATATTTCCCCCCTTATTATAAGACTATAAGCTTCACTTGGGATCAAGTCTTAAATATATTACTCTCTGTATCCCCAACAATTAACAATGGTGTTTTTGTATACTTAGAAAATATATAATTTAAAAGACTGTTTAAACAAATAACATGAACAGATGAGTATTAACTACATTGACCATTAAAATAATAATTTAAAAAGATACTGTAAATCTAGAATTTCAAATTATTTAAGAATGAAGATTCACAATGAATTAAATGAAAAAATATTCTTGACTATTTTTGTAGAAAATTTGAAATGTTAGAATGTATAGAGATAACAATTTACTTTTGACTCCAAATGCTAATATTTTATTCATGTTTATGATTATTAAATTACAAGTGTTTATCCTTTTAAAACATCAACTAGCTTTCCAAAGCTGCTACTGAAGAACAATTGTTCCTGATCCTTAGCTCCATATTGGAAACATCTACCAAGTTACAAGAGGTGAAATCACCTGGCTATGTAGGATTGGGGAGGGGCTATAGAAGAAAAAAAACAAACAAAACATTGATTCAGTTATATTATTTGCAGTCCAAACAAGGAATTCCAGAGGCAAATGATGCCATCAATTCCTGAGCTTCAGTTTCTCTACAATTCTGTGCCACAATGGCTTTGGTTTCAATGTTCTTATCTCTCCTATATCAGAGGTAGACAAAATATGGCCTTTATATTTTTAAAGTTTTGTTAAAAGAGAAAAGAGGAAAGAGTAAAAAGGAAGAGTAGAAAAGAGGTGCAAAGTTTAAAATATTTATGATTTAACCTTTATAGAAAAAGTCTGTCAAACCCTGTACTGCAATTATATATATATACTTAATTTCCACCTTTTAAAATCTTCCTTTTCCATTTCTTCTGCTCTTTGTCATTGTGGGTCCGTGTCTTTTAAAATTTCACTTAGGAAAGACATTTGAGAAGGTTAAATAAAGTTTAAAAAAAACTCTAATCATTATAAATAACACTGTAGTGAACATTTTAATGAGCTGAAATGTTTTCCATTTTAAGGTTTATTTTCTTAGAAAAAAGCCCTAGGTTGGGAAACCAGAAAAAAGGATCCTGACATTGTGTCCTATGCACCAGGAAACGATCAATAAATATAGAGTACATGTCTAAGATGATGAGTCAGGTAAAGATTCAAGCATGATGCAAAAATTTTAATAGCCAATATTTTATAGACATCATTCTCATATGCAGATATTTATTCTAAAAAGGACTTAAGGCAAATTAAAGTTACTTGTAACAGGCAACAAACTAGAAGTATGTAAAAATGATAAGACAAAAAATGATAGATACCAAACAACTAGAACTAAGACTAGTATAAAATTATGTATTGTGAGGTATAATACACTTATACAGCAGGTCAAGGAATACATTGCTCAGAAGCAAGGTTAATCTTTTCTTATTCTAAATAATTTAGACCTCGCTGTAAAGAAGCTATGTTTCTGCTTCTTCCACATTAGGAATTTTTAATGGATAGTTGAAGTTGTCATGGCTATCTCTGAATAAAAGAAATCCAATTCCTTAGGGAGAGGCTCATAAGACCTAATATATCTGTATGCAGAATTGAGAGTTTTTGGTAGATCTCAATTCTCTTTTCCTTAGACTCAAGTAAAAACAACAAAGAGAAAATAGCTCTCAAATTGGGACTCCTACTATCCTAGGCTTGTTGGTAGGAGGAAAAGCAAAGGTCTTTTGAAAATAGCATGCCAATCTTGCTCAGAAAGAGACTGTAAACAGTGTTTGAATCCATTTTAGTACATGAGCCAAAAGGTCGGCTTCTAGAAATATTTTGCAGCTATGTACATATTTAGAAACTTATACTCATGTGAACAAACATGTCTTAGTGACAAGGCATAATTCTTTTAAATTACACTTGGAAATCAAGAAACCTTTATATACCACATTTAAAGGAAAGTTATTCATTTTTTGAAACTATTAATAATGCATTTTTTAAAAAATGGTAAAGTATGGCATTAGCTAGAAAACACATCTCTTCTGATAAAGTCAGAGGAAAGGGCAATGCCTCCTATATTTTGTCAGGCCTTATGGACTAAGCCTTTGCCCTTTTGCCTGTCCTCAGTTATCTATCCACCTATCTATCCATGCATCCATGCCAAATTTATTATTTCTTTTGCAACAAACATTTCCAGGATCAGTAACAGAAAACACAAAATGCCTGTATGTATGATATTCACAGACTAGCACAGAAAACATGACAATAGGTAAGTAAAGAGGAAGAAAAAAGTGGTATCACATAGATATGTACCAATTGTTGATGCAGCAGAGAGGAAAGAATGGTCAACAAGACCAAGTAAACAAGACCAGTTTAGAGAAAATAATAAAGATTACATTTTCCTTTTAATAGAACTTAATGAGTAACATGGAAAAGTATATTATAAAATTATAAATAAGGAAAATAGCATTTTTAATCTAAATTTTAGTTTCTAAAATATTTGAGTATATTTGAAGTAACAATTCAGGTATAGTTTTAATTTTCCCCCTGATATTTCTACAATATTTTAAGAGTTTAAGGTGTGCTTACATGCAGTGTCTTCTTTTCCTTAACCAAATTCCCCTTAGATAGGTATTATTTATTATATGATTTTAAGATGAAATGGAAGTATAGAGGAGAGACATAACTTGTTCAAGATCACAAGCTTCTAAACTAGTAAGGTCGGAATTCAATTCATACTTCTCTTCACTCTGAATTCCATTTGTCTAAGGTAAAAATGCTTTCCCAAAGATACATAGTCCAATTTTGTAAAAGTATTATAAGTAAAATGTGCTTTAACCACATTTGGTTATCTGACACTACAATGTCTTAAAATAAAATTTCTTCCAAACTGTTTTAACAATCAATTACCAAATCAAAGATTAAAAGATAATGCTATATGTGACTGCATGACCAATGTGATTCTGCAACCTGTATACTCAGAAAAATGAGAAATTACATCCCATCTGATTCAAATATATGTCAAGATCACTATACTTTCATGTGTAACTAAGTAAAACAAAATAAAAAAAGATAATGCTAAATCTGACTATAAAGTAGCAGTTAGGAAAAAAAGGGACAAAAGATCGTAAAACTAAGAAGTAAGCTAAATTATCCTGGGTTGAAATCTATGATGGAAATGTACATTATTGATTTCTTCTTTCATACTTACATCTCTGTGCCCACTACTAGCAGAATCATGGAGTGGAGTGTCATCATCTAATCCTTGTGTGTTAACATCTGCTCCAGCTGCTATAAGTATCTTCGCAACATCGTAATATCCAACATTGCAAGCTTCATGCAGTGGTGTCCAACCTAAAGTTAGAATATTAATTTAACATACAATTTTAAGATACATGCAAGATATATGCAAATTTATAAGAAACATTTACTACCATTACTGATTATGGATATCAAAATTAAAATTTTAAATTATTAGATCATTAATATTTAAGTTAATATCTTCAAGTTGAGTAACAGACTCTTGATGGTAGTATAAACTGACACAGGAGCATTATTTTGGTGGGCAGTCTGCCATTATTTCAAACATTTTAATGTGCATTTGCTTTGTTACAACAACAGTTTCAATTCTACTAAAACAGTTCCAAGCTACACACAAAGTTGTTTTTTTGTATTGTTTTTTAGTTATAGGTGGACACAATGTGGTGCTGAGGAGAACCCAGAGCCTCACGCATGCTAGGCAGCACTGTATATCTGAGTCACAACCCCAGCCCACAAAGTTGGTTTTACAACAGTGTTCACTAATGATAATATTATGAAGCTGTTAAAAATGAAGTAAATTTACCTATATGTACTGAAAGAAATACCTGTAATTACAGACAGGCTGCAGAACCACAGGTGGAATAATAATATTTTTTTTAAAAAAGTTTATAAGTAAATGTTCATATTTACATATGATCATGAAAATAGTAAAAGAATAACCTACAAATTATTAATACCATTTCTTTGGAAAAAAAAAGCAGAAGGGAAACAGAGTAGTATAAGATGGGAAATTAACAAGAATTTCTATATTATTTGAATTCTTCATAGTAAAAATACATTGGCGTATTATTTGAATAATTAAAGTTAAAATAATGCCACTCTCTTACAATCTTCATGTTCAAGTTAAAGTTTCTCAAGAATTATTAATGAATTAACTGCTTTGAAAACATCATGTACTCAAATTTACTTTGGATAGAACCAAAATTTAAAAACCATTATACAGTAATGTCAACTAAAATTTAAGTTCAATATGCAAAAATGTAATTATTGACAAGAAAATACAGCAGAGAAGAAGGTTTTATGCACATACAGCAAAATTATTGTAATAAAATATATTTTCAGAACTCTTTTGCAAAAGAAATATAAATAAAACTGGAACAAGAATCTGTTTCAATATTAGATCCTGAATATCATTCTTGAGTTTAATCTTACCTGCAAAATCTTTCACATTCACATTTGCTCCTAAACTTATTAATTCTTTGACTTGTTTCACATCTCCTCGAATAGCTGCCATGTGTAAAGGAGTTTCACCACGCTCATTTCTTTTATTAACTTTATCTTTTTGTCGAGATGAAGAACTGGGAGTTTTCTTTTGGGCTGCTGCTGTTTGTGATGGATGGTTTGGTGTGGAGTCTATAAGAAAAAAGTTCACAAAGGTTCTAGGCTAAATATTGTATATATTTACTAAAAGATTCTTAGTGATAATGTGTCTATTGCTAGAACTTTCTAACACCACAAAACTTGACGTGGATGATACGTTAATAAATTTACACAAATACATAGAGTAAAATTTCTTTTAGGATTACCAAAGATCACAAGTTGATGAGAAACATTTTATTCTGTCAACTTATAAAACTGGTTTAAAATGATAATAATAAGTATCAAGTATATACCTTAAATGTATCTGTTTAATGAATAATCAATGAACTGCAAACAACTGTATGTTTCCTGAGCACTTTATACTATTAATTTAACACCTAGATAAAATTAAATTGAAGGCCAAAGTTCATATCTCTAACTCAAAAGCACTGCAGTTTTGTTCTGATGTTGAGTGCAAATTAAGTTAGAGATGATCTTAGTATGAAAATAAAGCTAAAGATCTGAAATAAGGGCAAATGGAAAAAATCCCATAGATGTTATTCTTTGCTTTGATCCCCAACTTTTGATTTCTATTCTAGTTTTTATGTCAAAATCAGGAAAGTTAAACTAGATGATGCCCAAGGCACCACTCTCCTCTCTTTTTAGAACCACAGGGCAGGGAGAATGGGATGATGTTTTCTTAATTAAAGGTATGACAATATTAATTAATTCTGAAAATTTATAGCTATTTAAAAGAGTTAATACACTAAGAACAAACAATCTTGGAAAATAATTTTCCATCATCAATCTTGCAAACTGATATAATTATGGAGTTCTAAAGCAATATCAATAAAAAAGTAAAGTTTTACAGTTTGGATTTTGAAGTATGTTGTCTCAGTAACAGTTTTCTACTTATTTCTAGAATGTATACTCCCATAAGAGTAAGAATTTCATCTCTCTTATTCATCAACTATCTTTTTCAACTGTTTCAAAGACTTCTTGCTACATACTGTAACTCAAGAAAACTTTGCTAAATGAATAAATTTTATTATACACTTTATAGTAAAATTTTTAAGACAGTTATTTTGTTGATTTTCTTAAAAACTAAAGGACCAAATTAATGGATAATCAATCCTAACCTCCAAGTACATCTGTTTGGTAACACAGCTTGATGTCAAGCTTTCTACTCCAGTTATATACATATTAATAATAAAAAATGACAAGGAATTATCCTTAAATGAAAAGAGCCAATAGAACAACAATGTTATTGTGTAATTGTATTTACCCTAGGAAAAAAAATAAAACAACCAAAAAATGTATATTTATGCCTAAAAATTCCCTGGAAATATAGATAAGAGACTCTGAAGAGTAGTGCCTCTCAAAGGGAGTCACTGGAGATAAAGAAGACTTCTACTCTTTGTCTTAATGTATTAATTCTTTAATATTCTGAAGACAAAAGTTCATGTTGTAAAAAGACATTTTTACAAAATAAGTCTTTGTAATTCAACATTTTACAGAAACATTTAAAGTTGTAGCAGTGTCAAATAATTTGACCACTCTTCTACCCAAGTTACTGGCAGAAAAGGTGAGAAAAATCCAAAAATACACTATTTTAAAAAGCACAAGGATCTACAATATTTGTAGGAGTGAAAGATATTAGATAGGCTCATGCTTTGATTGAAATCAGGATACTTAGAAACACTAAGAATTTAACCATCATGTCCCCAGGTGCTTACCCCCAATCCCTACTCCCACTAAGAGTCAGTATAAGAAAAGTTCATTGGAAAAATTTTCTTTTTCAATACATTTCTTCATCAATATATTCTTATATAAAGATGCCTTAAATTCAGAGCCAAATTTTTTTTTCTTCAGATACCTTCCTGTCTCAGTCAGAGAGAAGCAATGTATAATAAAACTGCCAATTTAAACAGCAGGGGAGTAGTGAACTGGAAGCATAGAAAACATTTTTACCGAAATTGGGATAAATCATTAGTAAGGTAAAAGCACAGTTTTGCCATGAACTTCCCATGTTGTTAACCTATTTCTAAATGACTCATTTTATTTAACAATTATCCACTTATGAAAAATGAGGGAAAGAATCCCTGCTCTTATACACTTTCTATTCTAGGGGAGGATTCATATCATGAACTTTCACACAGATAAATTATAACATTACAAACTGATGTTATAAGTAATTCTGATTAAATTCAAGAAAGAATAAAAATTAAAAATAGTTAAAAGTAACTGTCAACACAATGCAGCCAGCATTCTCCCTAAGTGCCAGGGAATTCAGACTGAACTAGATTCCATAGGTACAAACATACATATACTAGATTATACTACAAATTAACTTAATGATGTTAGGTATCACCTGGACTGTTGTCTCTTGCTGTCATCTGCATAAGAAGTGCCATCTGCTTTCGTTCAGAGAGTGGATAACCAAAAAGAATGCTAACTGGTGTGGATTTCTTATTTCCAGCTTCCTTTTTTGTTTTCTTCTTTTCTGGACCTTCTTTCTCTGAAATTATTAAATATGTAAGAATTTGAAGAAAAAAAAAAAGTACTCCAAAGCAAAACATAAGACAACTTTTTTGACAGCTGCTATAAATATGTATGAGAATCATTTATAATATATAAACTGGTAGTAGCCAGAGAAAAGAGCACTGGCCTTTAATTATATGAGAAAATTTTTGCTAAATGCTTTGGAAAAATTATATTCTTGTTTTATTGCTTCTAGGCACTTGAAATTTTTATTATTTTTAAGATTTGTATTTTAGTGATTAGTTCTGCTAAAATTTAATAACTTCAAAAACACTTCAAACATTCCTTACTATAGTCATCCCTTAGTATCTGCAAAGGTATGGTTCCAGGAACTCCTGCAGATACTAAAATCTAGTGCTCAGGTCCTTGACATGAATGGTGTAGTATTTACATACAATCTGTGCTAATCCTCCCATATTCTTTAAATTAGCTCCAGATAACTTATAATATCTAAAGTAATGTAAGCACTATGAAGTTATACTGTATTGTTTAGAGAATAATGGGGGGAAAGTCTGTACATGCTTTTGTATAGAGCAATTTTTAAAAAATATTTTCAATCTATGATAAGTTGACTCTGCAGATAGAGTGCTAACTTGTATATGATATCTTTGAAATTTTTCTTAACTACCATTTTATTCTTATTACTGCTAAACATACATATCAATGCTTCTTCAAATTACTTTCCTAATTCCAGTAATGATTTGTACAACCTGCCAAGAAACTAAGTAAGACAATTCTAATCACTCAGCAGTTAATGGAATAAAAGCACCAAATAAATTCCTTTGAGTACAGGACAGTGGAACATGGGATGATATTAATCAAAGTTAAAAAGGTACAAATTAAGGACTCTGTGTGCCTGTGCGTTAATGAAAAAAAAAAATCTTACAAAGATTCAAAAATTTCTGAGGCCCTTTTCAAAGAGACTCCATCTATCACAAGGTCTGATATCAGATTTCGTTTTTGGAAATCCTTTGGCAATGCAGCCAGCATTCTCCCTAAGTGCCAGGGAATTCAGACTGAACTAGATTCCATGGGTATAAACATACAAATGTCTTTTCTTTAGAAATCCTCTGGAAGTGAATGCAGTTGCTTTGTGCAAGTGAATACTGAGTTCTGACTACTGTCAAGGCATCTATTTCTTGGAAAGTCATATATAAATATTTGATATTGCGGTGGTTTAGGAGTACATGTAAAGTGCAGCTAGAAGTAAACAAATTCAAAAATGAGTGGAAGAAGTGAAGGCTTAGTAGTCAGTACAATGTTTTTTTTTTCCCCCCACCTCCCCTCCCCAGCAGGAAGATGCAGCAAGCAGGTAGGATATTTTGAGAGAAGCATTTATTACTCTAGTAAGTCCAAGAAACTAAAATCTGGCATTAGTAATCATGAGAAATTAAAGTAATGATGATTCAAGCATGCCACTTTGGATTATTAGGATAACTGGCATCCTAATCACCTAGAAAAATTAGGCTATAATATTTAAACTCTGATGGCCAAAAGTCACCCAAAATTCAATAATTCCTAATATAACCACTGTATTAAATTTTTATTTTACATAAAACCAAACATTTCAAGACCTACTAAAATCAACTTTTTAAAATATCTCTAATATAATCTTTAATTTTCATATTTCTCATTATCAATAATGATCCAATTTAGTATAAATCTAATCTCAGCACAATTTTTAACCTATTACTACAATTATTATAAAGTCCTAAACAGGTCTTTGAAACAGGCTATTGTTTTACCTGCAATGTATATTCTTTCTCATAATTTTCTGTACATTTTGGTTTTCTAGTATTTAGGAAACACTACAATTATTGTTATTTTAATGATTTTTCAGCTAAATAAACATTTTAAATATAATAAACATTTCTCTACTATAATTAAATAATTTAAATATTGTAAAATTTTACAAAAAGCAGACGAGATGTTTCAAGGAAAAGTAGTAAAATCTAATCATAGGCAGAAACAAAAAATTCTTAGTATCTATCCTTTAAATGATTTCTAAAATTTGGGAGAAGGAGTAACTTGTATTTTTTTTTTTTTAACTGACAATACAGCTAACTTTTTTTTATACTTTCTGCATTTTACTGCAGTTTTATAAAAGACACTAAAGTAATATATACCTGGGGTACAGAAAACATAAGTTCATTAATAGAACTCCATTCTGACAAATAATCAAACATAAACTCATTATAACCTGGAAAAGAATTAACAAGTTGGAATACTCCAAACATTTAAGCAAAAATTCAAATTAGATGAATTAACTTTAAAGGACAGGTATGGTCTGAATTCATGTTTTCCATAAATTGGAAAAAGGTGGTTAAGTGATCAGGAGCTGGTATAAGTTAGATGGGTGTGAGATCAGTATACTATTCAAAAATTTTAAGTGCTACAACTATTATGTACCAAAATATGGTGATTTTGTTTTCAAATTTAATGCAGTCAATAAGACTTTGACTATTCAGTATCTTGTATGAATAATTCATTTCCTCTAACGTGTCATAAGTAAAAAAAAAAAAATGATACAACAGTTCTCCAGTTTTCAGTTATTCTAAAAATTTTTTTTCTTCATAACAGACTAGAACTTCAAAATTTAAACCCAGGTATAATTATAAACATTCTCATTTAGCATAGTCTACAGAGCCCTGAAATTCTACTCAGTTAGCCTGGAGATTTGAAGGAAAAACCTGACAGATTTATTTAGACTACCCAAGACAAAAAAAAAAAAAAAAAAAAAAGAACTTCACATCAGTACAACTTCTTTCTTTCAACATCCAGAGGTGCTCCAGAAAAAGAGAGATGTCCCAGTTTTATAATTTGTAAAATGTATGCTTTCTTTTCAGGTCTTGCCAAAAAAGCAGAAGTAATATTGTTACTTCCCAATTAAGTGTAAAGTACATTATGAAAAGATAAAACTATTCTATTTTTCTTGGGGAACTAGGTTCAAAAATAAATGAATATGACATTTCCCTACAAAGCAGTCACTGTAAAAAAAATAATAATGAAGCTACAATTAAAAAACAGATAAAAGATACTTCTATCAATCATGTTTGTAGTGTGCATACTTCAATTCTGATAAACAAAATTTGCCATTCTGGTTTGATTCTAAGATACTGTGAATTTGTAACCTCTGAATGTCAATACTATAACTTATTTTCAGCAATTACAACTCAGATCATGAATGGCTTCATCACATTTAGCTCTTTTAAGTATACCTTTTAGGTACCTTTCTTAAAGGCAGGCCTGATTCCATAGTAACTAGATTGTAAATATAACCCCCACCCAATTTTTGTAATAAAAAATGACTGACTTAATACCACATTTCAATTAATAACTATCAGAATAATTTTAAGGATAATTGTTTAGTTCTGCTATTATCTCCATCCAAGCCCCCACAAATTCATAAAATAAATAAAAAGCACATCATAAAAGTTTTATCTCAGTTTCATACCCAAATATTATTAAAAACTGGACACTTAAATACCCAGGGACTTAACAATATTTACATTTTAAAAAGTTCAGAAATAAGCACATCATGTACTTATTCAAAAATACTATAATCAAAACACTTAACTAGCTTTAGGGGTAGTATTTATATATTCTTTGGCCTTGTTTTATATGGAGTAATTATAAATCAGTAACATATAATGACTGGTGCCACAGTCAAATAGAGAGGTTCTAACAATTAATGGTAATAGCATTTCTCCAAGCAACCTGTTATTTTAATGTACTTAATTCAACCTGGGCAGCAAAGTCAATAATGAGTTATGAGTACAATGGAAAAAATTTTAAATGTGCTTTTAAATAAACATTATTTGACTAAAGGGTAAGAGAAACTGTGTATAGAACTCAGTGTATTTGGTGTACCTAGTGATGGAAATATAACAAACACACTGAAGACCTTGGCTATCTTCACACAGAGGTCCAACACCAGGGAAGGGAATTGACTTTCATACTGTTTTCCAAATAAATGGTACCTTCATATTGTGTTATACAAAACTTAAGTGGAGGTATTTTTAAAATGTGTTAAGATAAAATATACTAGATTTCTCAGAAAAATTAGATAACTACTAGTTTGAAAATAAGTTATTTATAGTACAATGCTTAACTGTAAATGTGACAGAAACCACTCACTGAACATGAGCACCTGATAATCTAATTACCTGAATATGTCCTGTAAGAAGATATAAGTCTCTCCCCCCAATTTTCACTTGTATGTCCTGGGTCTGAATCTACAGAATGAGAAGAGACAGGAGAAAAGAAAAAGGCACACGAAGGGAAATACAGAATTCAACAAACCAACATTATTTAAAAGACCACCAGTTAGTTAGGCAATGATCTATTATTGTTTTTCCAAAAATTATTTTTAAGGTAAAGCCAAAAGTACATTCAAAACACAGGTTTGGCCACCACCTACGATTTCAGTTTCTTCAAATGGAATTCTTAAAATTAAGAAATTCAAACATGTAGTTTTAATAACAGACATTGCTGAAGTTGTTTATTAAAACACAAATCTTTTTATGCTGTATCTTTTTTTGCAATATCTGAATAACAGTAACAGGCAGCACTCCTACATCACTGATTTTTCTCTTCAGAATTTGTCTTTGATGAACTTGAATCACACTTTTTGTTCTGAGTGCCAAAACTACTCTGAAGACATAAAAACACTTTGGACTGCAGTATCATGTAAGACGGAAGACCTTCTATCCATAACAAATATTTCAATAGACTGAAGTACTAGAGATCACTACTGAAGAATCTTAGGGAAAAAGGCAATCGAAATCAAAATAAAGTTTATTAATTAAAAATATGGACTTCTCCTTAACAATTCATGACAGAGAAACAAGAATATGAAGAACTGATTTTGTTGATTTGGACACAGCATGTATTTTAACTTTTAAATAATGTGGCATCTCAACTCACAATATTATTATTCTGAGCAATCATATCGTCAATTTATGGACATACATTTTTCTTTCCAGGGTCGTTCTGATAGACAGGATTCATGATTTCATTTAGGTGTAAGTAACCAAGTGTTGAAAAACACAAACTTAGCAAAAAAGTAACCCCTAAACAGAGTATTTGAAATTTTTAAAGATAATCCTAAAAGTTTAGTGATGAGAAGATTCACTCATTCAAAAGTGTAATCATTAAGAACATTTAGACCAATTCTAAAGTAAGTAGATGGACTGTATTATAAGAATTTTAAGGAACCTTGCATTTCAAAATCGAAGGCATTAATTTGGCAAGCACAAGAATTCCATGAAATCAGTATTTTACATTACATATGAAGACAAGCAAGAGACTGAAAACTGCTTCCATACATTCAAAGCAAAAAAAAAAAAAAAAAGGTGGCAACCAATTAAGTTATATCAACCAGATTAAATGGTTATTGAAAGCAGATTATGTTATTTAAACATATTAAAGCACAGTGGATAAAATGACTTTCAATTATATTCATTAATGCAAGGAAGCAGTTTAACAGTTCAACCAACTCTTCCTTTAGAAGTAAGCAACTCACTCTGACCCAATACCCCCTCCTTTAGCTTTCACTTGAATAAGTATGTTTATATTTGTAGCACTCAAGCATGTATTCTGTAAAGATTTACTTCAGGAGCTGAAAAATAACTATTATTTTGGTCCATGCTCTACTGAGATGAGGTTGTATGAGACTACTGCTATTTGTCTTTGAGGCTGATGTAAAGCATTGTTAGGCAGAGCAATTCTCTCACCCTAATGAGTTCTTTATAGAAGGCAAGAGAAGCCAACACCTGTATTTGAAAAACAATCTTTTTTAAAGTGAATATACTCTGCTTTATGAGTATAGTAGCATAGGAGAAAAATACCAAGAATGATTTTGAAAGTCTGTATTACAGGTTGAAACTTTTTATAATAAAACATTAGGAAGGGGGCAGGAGTTAATCTGTAGTAGAACATTTGACTTTACCTGCTACCTTAACACAGTTCTCTATTTAAAAGTGTTAACCTCTGCCAATTTGTTTAAATCCCATTAAGTAAGGTAAATCCTTTAATGGCATCTAAGGCCTCAGGAGAATAGAACGTCTAAAACTGGTTATCTGGCAGAGAAAGTTAAAAGCTTATGAAATCTCAACATGTTCTTCAATTGCTCTCAGAGACTTTGGGAAAAGATCATACTAAGTCTCTGAATTTTCTCCAATTACATTATCTAAACATGCCAAAAGAAAAAACTATAGTAAACAAATAATACTAAGACGAGACAATTATTAAATTTTAAACAGTGAAGCATATTATATCTTTCTAGTTACTCAAATATGCAAATTAAAATTATGAAATACTGCTGGTTTATTTTATTAGGATATAAAATCTATCAAACCTAAAGAAAAACATATGTCCCAATACTTAAAGAACACTGAGTCCAACAACATTCATATACTGATGGAAGCTTTTAAAACTAGGTAGGATTATTTTGGAGAAACATGAAGAATCACAGAAATGTTCCCATTTTTGATAAGGAAATAGTTCAGAATAGGACAAAAACATATAAAGATAATCTTCATGGCATCATTCATAATGAAATAATTGCGAATTTAGTTTGGAGCCCAAAAGGAGACTTTTATGCAGCCCCCAGAAAGCAGCTTAATACTTTTACATGAGGGGTTATGACATTATGTTAAGGGATTATGGTTTTCCCTGGATGTAGGAGATAGGGAAAGAAGTATGATTTTATGACTGACAGTACAAGAATAAAGTTAAAAACCTTAATTGCTAAAGTTAGTAGTTATTGATTAGATTTTATATACAATACAGTGGCAGATATTATAATCTGCCTACTCAACATTCATTCTCCTCCTCTTCCCAGAATAACCCAATTAATATCAGGGTGACAATATGCCTAGTTAAAAGTACTTGACTTTTCAGATTCCCTTGTAACTATAGTGGCCTAACCAATGAAATGGACAGATGTTTTTAGAGATATTGTTTTATCAATAAAAAGGACAAGTCTCACTTGGAAAAAGACACCTTTTGGGGGGTATTTCACCTTCTACTTTCTCCTAGGAAAAAGCAGCAATCCTGTGACTTCACATCTCCTGCTCAAGAAAAGGAGAGCAGAGAGATGAATCTAGTCTCGGTGTTACTGAGCTACTATACTGACTCTGGACTGCCTAAGTCTAGTGCTCTCACTGCATTAAATTTAAAAATCCCCATCTGTTTAAGATGGTATTCATCTGTTTTGTTGTGTTTAATTAACATATCACAAAGTGAATTTATGCATTATGTCACCTAAAGGTCACAATTTTCTCAGGCTGATATTACAAGCAGGTGAGAAAACTGGGGCTTATTAAGAAGTAAAATTAACTGGCCAGTGTTGATACTGGTCAGATTCCAAAATCTTCAAAATTAAACATTATTATCATTTATCTCCATTACAGCTATAAAAATTTATCTTATGTCAAGAGTTTGGAAGAAGACAGTTTGAAAATAAATTTCAAAAGCTAAAAATAAGCAATGAAGCAAGTTGATATGGGAAGCATAATATCTTCTACATCAGTAGTAGTTGCTTTTAGGCTTCCATATGTTCAACGGGTCTTCACTCTATCTATTGGCTTCTTAGTATTCCATACAACAAAAATTGTAGGAATTTTCTCACAGGATAAGAAAACATGGATACATACTGGAACAGATATGTTGGTGATTTTTTGAAAGAAAGTAATTCAGAATAAATGGTACTATCATGTAGCTAGCTACAAGGACCCACTGGAAAGACTTCAAATTGTGCTATAATTCTTTCCAACATTTTATCTGTCTAGCCAACCACCTACTTTTCTAGAAAGACTTATCTTTTCAAAAAGTTATTATTAAATAATTAAAAATTTGCAAAGTTTTAAACACACTAGGTTATCATAAGACCAAGAATTCCTTATTCAGTTGCTGGCATTATTGCTGATTTAGGGACCCCAGGGCCTTCTATGCAAACATCTTTACAAAAGATAACTTAAAGATATGCTTATTTTTTAAATATCCAACCTACAAAAAAAGAGTAGAAACAAGCAATTAACAAACATCCTAACCCTTGAGAATAAAGTATAAACATTTGGTGAACATCATTCCAAGCATACCTCTAAATATATACAAAGACACAGGGACTAATGGAGAAGACACAGGAAGAAATAAAATTTATGTAGGAAAAAGCATATAACATACATACACACACACACACATACACATCTTAAAGTTTATTAATTTAATATTACTCCAACATAAAAGAAACTGCTTTTATTCTGTTAGAGACAGTGTATACGAAGATACAGACAAATATACACATAACCTTGCTATAAGAGAATATGAGCCAAGTATTAGTATTAATTCTTGCCATTATTCCCAATTTCCTGTTCTTTCATTCTTTCAAGTCAGGGTTTAAAACCTTTATATTTTGATCTGGACCCAAAATACACCCACCAACATTAGGCTTAGTTCCTACAGTGAAAATGACTTTTATATTCAAGTCTTTATTTTATCTTTTCATATGTGTGTTTATATGTTGTACACATATGTATATGCATATAAACACACCAATGATTTTAATGCAATGAAACACTATATATTATTTCCTGACCTGGGTTTTCACTTCCAATAACATAAATGTCTTCCCTATCATGCATTCTCCGATGTTATTTTTCAGTGCAAAAAACTATTTGCTCACTGGATTTACTATAATTTAATTAATCCTTTATTTATGACACTATTTTCCTAGTTGGGAGGGAGGATTTTCTTTTATTATATATTCTTAAAGATAAAAATTTGCTTCCATCAATAATTGCTTAAAAATCATTGGGTAGTAATTTTATCAATTATTATGAATCATTTCTCTGATTACCATTGATAAATTAATCAAGCTGAGTGGGGTGGTACATGCCTATAATTACAGCTATCCTGGGAGTTATGGAAGGAGGACTGCATGTCTGAGGTAAGTCTCAGCAACTTACTGAGACCCCATCTTTAAAAAAGGATGGGAATGCAGCTCAGTGGTAGAGACATCCTGGGTTCAATAGTTTAATTGCCAGTACCACCAAATAAATAAATAAAAATCGATGTTAAACAAGTTTGATGTTATATTATTTTTCATATGTAAGATCTTGCTTAATAGTATTTGAGATTTCTTTCTCATTTTTTAAAATAAAAAATAAAAGAGGCTGGGGCTCAGTGGTAGAGCGCTCGCCTAGCATGTTCGAGGCCCTGGGTTCAATCCTCAGCACCACATATACATAAAGTTATTGTGTGCAACTACAACTAAAAAAATAAACATCTTTTAAAAAAATTAAAAAATAAATAAAAGACAGTTACACTGCTTTGGGCCTACAAAAATTCTTAATGTCTTGGTTGTGTGTGGCATATAAAAAGCAAGATTTATAAATTCAGCCTAATCAATACATATTTTAAATCCAACAAAACTTTAGAGAGGAGAACTTCTAGAGCTAATAAATGAATTCAGTAAAGTAACAGGATATAAAATCAACACCCATAAATCAAATGTACATATACATCAGTGATGAATCCTCTGAAAAAGATATTAGGAAAACTACCCCATTTGCAATAACCTTAAAAAAAAAAAAAAAAAAAAAAAAAAAAAAACTTGGGATCAATCTAACAAAAGAAGTGAAAGACCTCTACAGAACATTAAAAAGAGAAATTAAAGAAGACCTTAGAAGATGGAAAGATCTCCCATGTTCTTGACTCAGCAGAATTAATATTGCCAAAATGGCCATATTACCAAAAGCAATATATACATTTCATGCAATTTCAATTAAAATCCCAATGTCATTCTTCATAGAAATAGAAAAAGCAATCATGGAATTCATTTGGGGGAAAAAAAAGACCCAGAATAGCCAACACAAACCTTAGCCTGAAGAGCAAAGCAGGAAGCATCACAATACCAGACCTTAAACTATACTACAGAGATACAGTAATGAAAACAACATGATACTGACACCAAAACAGACATATAGACCAATGGTACAGAATAGAAGACACAGAGACAAACCAAACTAAATACAATTATCTCATACTAGACAAAGGCACCAAAAACATACATTGGAGTAAAGATAGTCTCTTCAACAAATGATGCTGGGAAAACTGGAAATCAATGTGACAAAATAAAATTAAACCCCTATCTCTCAGCCTGCACAAACTCAACTCAAAGTGGATGATCAAGGACCTAGGAATTAGACCAGAGATTCTGTGCCCAATAGAAGAAAAAGTGGGCCCAAATCTTCACAAGGTCATCTTAGGACTTGGCTACCTTAATGATACTCCTAAGCACAAGAAATAAAATCAACAATAATAAATGGGAGGGATTCAAACTAAAAAGCTTCTTCTCAGCAAACAATCAGTAATGTGAAGAAATTGCCTACAGAATGGGAAAAAATCTTTACCATACACACATCAGATAGAGCCCTAATCACCAGGATATATAAAGAACACAAAAATCTTAACACCAAAAGAACAAATAACCCAATCAATAAATGGGCTAAGAAACTACACAGACACTTCACAGAAATTATACAACTAATCAACAAATATATGAAAAAATGTTCAACATCTCTAGCAATTTGAGAAATGCAAATCAAAACTATTCTAAGATTTCATCTCATTTCAGTTGAATGGCAATTATCAACAACACAAGCAACAATAAGTATTGGTAAGGATGTGGGGGAAAAGGTACACTTATACATTGCTGGTGGGACTGCAAATTGGTGCAATAACTATGGAAAGCAGTACTGAGACGCCTTAGAAAACCTGGAACGGAACCATTATTTGACTCAGCTACCCCACTACTCAGTTTACCCAAAGGACTTAAAATCAGCATACTACACTGACGCAGCCATATCAATGTTTATACCAGCTCAATTCACAACAGCTAAAGTATGGAACCAAGCTAGATGCCCTTCAACAGATGAATGAATAAAAAAAAATGTGCTACACATACAAAACTGAATATTACTCAGCCTTAAAGAAAAATGAAATTATGGTATTTGCAGTTAAATGGATAGAGTAGGATAAATACCATGCTAAGTGAAATAGGCCAAACCCAAAAAAACAAAGGTAGAATGTTTTTTTCTAATAAGCAGATGTTGATCCATAATGGGGGGGGGGGGGGCTACAGAAGAATGGAGGAACTTTGGATTGGGAAAAGAGGAGTGAAGGGAGAGAGGGTGGTGGTGATGGGAAAGATGGTAGAAAGAGATGGACATTATTACCTTATTTATATGTATGATTACCCTAGGTGTGACTCTGCACTATGTACAGCCAGATGAATGAGAAGTTGTGCTCCATTTGTATACAATGTGTCAAAATGCATTCTACTGTCATGTATAATAAAACAAATTGAAAAAATTTTGGTGAGTTCATATAACTTTTCTAAAACAAAAATAGGAGTTATGAAATGTTGTTCGTTCCTCTTTTTTTTTTTTGGTACCAGGTATTAAACCCAGGAAATCTAAACCAATGAGCCACATCCCCAGCCGATTTTTATTTCTATTTTTTTATTTTGAGACAGGGTCTCACTAAGTTGCAAAGGATGACTTTAAACTTGTGATCCTCCTGCCTCAGCCTCCCAAGCCACTGGGATAACAAATGTGTCTCACACAACCAGGTGTTATGAAATGTTCTTAAAGAGAGCTGTAATTTCATTCCACTAAGTGGAAAAATTATCAGGAAAACAAGTATATAATTTGATTAAATTCTAATCAGATTATGTTTATTCAGTGAAGTTAGTTTACTTCTATGTAACATTTTCTCATCTGTTCCTAAGTAACATTTTCTCCTTAAATGGTTAACTATATTTGATTTTAACAAACTCCCTTCTTCAAACTAATATCAGAAAATATCACTGTTCACCAAAGGGGCTTCCAAAAAGAAAATATGAGAATGGTTAAATCCATAATAGGTATCTGAAGACACATACAGTTATACAACAATTAAGGATGGGGAGATGCTCTGAGGAATGAGCCATTAACAGAGTTCACTGTTATGCAAATTCATAGAGTGCCCATATACAAAGCAAAAAGGCTACATCATCATTAGGTGATATAATGTTGTAGGATCATCATTATACATGCAGCTTGACTAAAATATTATATTTCACTGCATTGAGGTATATTCACAAGTATTCTAGGTATCCTATTCTTGGACAAAAAATAATTTAGTAATAACATGATTTGTAAGTAATATTGGCACAATTTTTCTAAAAAAAAAAAAAAAAAAAAAACACATAAAAATCCTAGGCTGGGCACGGTGGTAGAGCATGCCTGTAATCTCAGCAGCTTGGGAGGCCAAGACAAGAAGATCATGAGTTCAAAGCCAGCCTCAGCAATGGCAAGGCACTAAGAGCAACTCAGTGACACCCTGTCTCTAATAAAACACAAAAACTGTGCTGGTAATGTAGCTCAGTGGACAAGTGTCCTGAGTTGAATTCCCAGTACCCTCCCCAAAAAATTAAAAAAACAAACGTCTTCACACAATGTCATACTCCATTTCTTGACAAAAAGAAAAAAAGGCGTAAAATCAGCAGTGAAAATTAATGCAGCGAAATACAGTATCTGGCACAAGACGACTTCTTGGCTACCTGACTAGTGGTAGTTTTAGAATACCACTGAAGTAGAGTTGGGGTTCAAGAAAAAAGTTTCTGAATCTCTAGAAGAAACCAGTGCAACTTAAAATGAACAAAACACATCGTTTCTTAATTTCTGCAAGAAAGAATACACTTTGAGGTTTAAAAATGTCATGACTGAGAACAATTTCCAATTCAAACTAAAAAACAGTGAAATACACAGAAGGAGATCTATTTACTAAAGGTGTACACTAAAAATTGAGTATTTACTAAAGCTATGATAGCACAAGGTGTTTCAAAATCTTCAGAGTATTTTCAATAATTTCTAGAGTTAAAACCATTTTGGTATTGATGATTAAAGTTTTCTAAGAAGATATCACTAGGATAAAATCTCTGCACAGAGCTCAAAGTGGTGGCATAAACCTGTAATGCCAGTGGCTCAGGAGACTAAGGCGGGAGGATCACGAGTTGAAAGCCAGCCTCAGTAAAAGAGAGGTGCTAAACAACTCAGTGAGACCCTGTCTCTAAATGAAATACAAAACAGGGCTGGGATGTGGCTCAGTACTCAGTGGTCGAGTGCCCCTGAGTTCAATTCCCAGTGCCTACCTCCCCAAAAAAGTCTCTGTACATAAGCTCAAAATGGAACACTAACATTCTAAAAGTAAAGCAAAAACATTTTTAAGAAAGTTTATTAATATTTCACACAAGGAACAGAACACCTGTGACAAATATATTGAAGTTTACATTAATTTAAAAAAATTAATAGTTTTTTTAGTTTAGTTCAGGGCTACAGTACAACCTGGTAACTTATTAGACAGTAGTAATATTAGATAGTGGTTCCACCTATTATGAATAATTTGGATTGACTGATTTCAAGTTTTGAGAAACAAACGTCCTATGAAGAGCAGTCAGTCTCTTTTTTGGTGTTCTTTGGTATGTTCCATCAGTCCACAAAACTTTTTTTCCAAATCTACTATATTCTAGTGAATACTTATTAACTGAGCAAAATTTCACCATTCTTAAGAGAGTAAAGAATAAATTTTTCTTCTCTCTGGTGAAAAATCACATTTGTGTGATGAATTAATTTATACCCTCGAAATAATAAATCATAAATAATTAATAAATAATAAATCATACATAATAATACAAATATTTCTCTATAAACTGGGGTACCAAAAAGAGTGATACATATGAAAAGAAAAATCACAGTATGGAAATAAGTAAGATTTTACCAGAAAATAACTATTTATTTTACCTGTGTCTGAATCTCGTTCTTCATTTCTTGATGGGCTAATAGTAAAAGGAAGTTTACGTTTCATGGATGATTTCTCCTTCATCTCCTTGCCGACATCACTTCGGTCAATTTTTGGAGTTTTGCTGTAAGATGCAATCTTGTCTTTACTCTATTAAAAAGCCAATTATGAATAAAGTTATATCAACATTATATAAAGAAACACTGTATTTAAAAACTACTATTGAAGGAAATTTTCAGACAGACAAAAATAGGTCTTACAAACCATCACTGTATTCAATATACTCATGACACAGATTTAACATTTTTTCTAACTTCTTTCATATATCCCTGCTTTTTATTTAATAAAAAAGTTTTAAAATGACAATAAAATATCTTCAATATAACAGTCATATATCAAACTGGAGTCTAGATGTATCAAATGAATAAATATACAACTCTGAAAACACAATTTTGGACTGAATTAAATGGATATACATATAGATAGATTATAGATATAGATATAGACATAGATATAGATATCTATATTCTGGCCTATTATATCCTTGAGTTCATCCTCTGTAGATTAAATCAACCACAGAATAAAAAACATTTGAAGAGAAAATTATATCTCTATTAAACCTGCAATTTTTTGTCATTATTGTCTAAACAAGAGTATAATAACTATTTATACAGCATTTAATGTTGTATTAAGTGTGATTAAGTAATCATCAGGCAATTTAAAGCTAATGAAAAGAATATGTATAGGGTATCTGTGGGGTGTCTTAGGACAATTCCCCTACAAATCATCTATACCAATTCTTAGGGGATGCTAGACTAACAGTATCAACTTATTAGAAATGGAAATTCTCTGGCTCTATCCTAGACCTACTGAATTACAATGGCAAGGGGCCTAGTGATCTATTTTAATATTCCTTCCAGTTTAAGAATCACTGCTTTTAATCAATAAAAAAGTAAATATGGAGATCAAAGGACTAGAGAACACTTTCCAGCTGCCTCAGAGCTTGGGATTCAGCAATCTGTGTGATAGAATTCACTGAAATTCACATAGGACAGTACAAGACTTAATAGAGATCCAGAAATTCAGGTGTTTTGGACACAGGACAAAAACGAGTACATTGGTGCCAAGCAGGCAGTAGCAGTGATGACATTTCACCACAGAGGAGAGGCGTAACACAAAGTAGAGAAAAATATAGTGGAAAAATTTGGCATGGGACAAATTATAGAATAGTCCGAATTTGGATGAACCAGAGGATTAACACCAGATGGTGTTTGAAAAGTGCTCTATGTTTCTCGACTGGCAAGTGAAGTGCTGCAGCAGGGAACCATCTTGAATAGGTCATGATGCAGCTTGTTGCTGTAGAAGCCCAGGAAATTATAACAAATATTGTCATATCCTCAGCAAGCACCCACTGTGCTGCCCAGGGTGTACCTAGCAGAATGCAATTGAAACAAGCACAGAGAAGATTGTACCCAGGGTTATTCAGGTTAGAGATATAGAGGGGAATGCAACATGCTTCCCTCTGAGTCTTGCTGGTCTAGAAACTTAACCAGCAAACACAAATACAGACCCTAAGCCTGGGAAGGCAGTGCATGTGTGGGCAGTGTAGTGATACCTGTGAGGGGTTGGTTACAAAGTAGAATTCTCAGGACATCCCTGAGATGGAGACAGCCAGAAGAGATGAGCATCCACCTGGTCCTAGAGATGTGCTGATTCACTCTCTCAGGAGCAGATACCATCCCAACAAAGTTCCCAAGGGTATGATCAGAGCTAAAACTTAGTTGACAGAACTTCCTATTTAGAATTCAGAATCAGCCCCACAGAGGGAGGATATCAATCTAGTCTGTTCAGATGAAACTGCAATGGACAATACTTCTCATTTTATCCTACTGGTAATCAGGGAAGCTGAAGACTAATTCAACCCGGTTTGTGTTCCATGTAACTCCAGCTGGCAGCTTGGTAAGTAACAACAAAAAAGAAAAAAGGTTTAAATTCCTCAGCTCTTGTTCTAAGGGGTGCAAATCCAAAGAAGAAATGGAAAATAAGGCAGTTATGGCATAGGCAGTGAACACTCATCCTTGTTGTTGATAGTTTTGACTTCGGTGGAGATAATTCTTTTTTTCCCCCTTTGTATGGTTTTCTTGCTGTGCTGATTGAGTAGTTCATGAAAAAACACACGTATTATTTTTTTTTCATTTTATTTTGTTTTTCTTTTTCTTTCTTCTTCCTCTAATACCCAAGTTCTCTTGTTCTCTATTAGCCCCTACTTCATTTCTCTTTCTCTATTATTTCTTTTGCTCTACTACCCCATTTTCTTTTCTCCTAATGAATTATAATTTTACTGTATTTTAGACCTCTTTAGTTTATATAATTTCTGCCCCCACCATTCACACTGTCACAGTTATTAGTACTGTGGATGATGTAGCTGATGCCTGCTATTTATTTTAATGCTAGACCTAGTTCACTGTCGTCTACTACTACTGCTGTTAATTGTTGACGTGCTGTTCTTGTTTTTGCAGCAGTGTTATACATGCCATTGCAGGCAACAGATAAATTTTAATGTTGCATATTATTCACTTTTTTTTCATGTGTGTGTGTGTGTGTGTGTATTTCCCTTTTTATGAGTTGTTGGGAATCTACTAGGATCCTATGAGTTCACAAGGTAAAGACTCTGTTGGTAAACTAAATCCAGTCAAGAGACAGCACATCTTGCTCCACACATAAAATACCCCTGGCTCAAGCTTCAACAATCCTTTAACACAAAGAATAGATAACAAAAGCCCCATACCAACAACCAGGCCATAAGTAAAAAAGGCTATAGGAAGGTGAGCTCGGATCCCACTCGTGGACATCTATTCCTACAACAAAACAGGCAGAGGCTACAACACTGCATCTCACGGAACATACTGTTGCACAGCTGAGTTACACCAGCAGGTCTGCAGTGGTACACTGAGAGCCACTAGAGGTTGAAATTTACATCTTAAGCCTGTGTGTCGAACTAAAATATACCAAAAGCACATAACTTCAACAGATACTCAACAAAGGACCTCTTTGTAATAGAGAAAGAGAACTTCATTTCAACAGATGTACAAGTACACACACCAAATTTAAAATTACCCAACTAAGAAATACTGGGGATGACTTTCCAGAGAACATCTGTAAAAAAATTGATTATTAAAATGATTAATGAGAGGCTTGGGTTGTGGCTCAGCGGAAGGGCGCTCGCCTAGCATGTGTGAGGCCCTGAGTTCGATCCTCAATACCATATAAAAATAAACAAAGATATTGTGTCCAACTAAAAAATAAATATATGTAAAAAAAACTTGATTTCACAGAAAACAGAACTTCAGGCTTCAAAAAGACAGGTATAGGAACCTGAACACTCAGACACAGTAAATAAAAAAAGGCAATGACAAGAATATACAGGAATGTTGGGACAACATGAAGAGATCAAACTTGAGAGTCACTGCAACTGAGAAAGGAATGAAGATATAGGCTCATGGTATAAGAACCTTTTTATCAAAAATAATAGAAAACTGTCCAAATCTTAGAAATGACATTAACATTCATATATTAAAAACATATATTCCATGCTTATAGAACCCCCCAAAAAAAGAACCTTTCCAAGAGAAATCATAATCAAAATGGAGAATAAGAATAGAATATTAAAAGCTGCAAGAGAAAAAACATCAAGTTACATTTGGATGTAAGTCAATAATGCTTATGTCTGACTTCTCAGCTAAGACTCTAAAATCCAAGAAGGCTCAAATAAGAGAAAAAAGCTTGGGGAAAAAAAAAAAAAAAAACCCTGTCAAACTAGATTGCTATATTCAGCAAAGCTATTATTCAGAACTGAAGAGGATATAAAAACTATCCACTGTAAGGATAAACTAAAAGAATTCATGATTACTGAGCCAGCACTACACAAAATGTTTAAAGATATACTATACACAGAAGAACTCAAAAACAAACCTTAAAGCTCCCGAATGGATGACACTCATAAGAAGAGCAAATAGGAAATGCAGATTAAGACTAAATTCAATATATGAAACAAAGCAAAATGTCAGGAAACAGTAATCACCTCTCCATAACAACTGTGAATGTAAATAGCCTCAATTCTCCAAATAAAAGACACAGACTTGGTAAAGTGGATTAAAAACATGATCCAAATAAATGCTGTTTGCAAGAGACTCATGAAAGGCAAAGACATGGACAGGTCAAAATAAAATAATGAAAAAAGATATTTTATGCAAACTGACTCTGAAAACAAGCAATAGTAGCTATTCTCACATTCAACAAAGCACACACACACTTCAAGCAGAATTAATCAAAAGAGACAAGGAAGGTCACAACATAAAGATAAAGGGAAAATTCCCAACAAGAAGATATAATAGTAAATATTTATACCTCAACCTTGGTGCACCTAATTACATGAAAAAAGCAATTCCTGATGTTAACATTCAGATATCTCAATATGGTAATACTGGGAAATTTCAACACACCCTTGTCACCAATAAACAGGTCATCCAGATATTATATGAACAGATACTTATGACCAAAATAATAGTATAAGTGAAATGGACCTAACAGACATAACATTTTGTCCAACAGTACCTTCTCTGCAGTTCATGGAACCAATTCCAAAATGAACTTTAATTACAAAGTAAATCTCAGCAAATACAAAAAAAAATTAAAAAGATAATCCTTTGTATATTACCACCAGATGAAAATGAAATCAAATTAGAAATCAATAGCAAGAAAAACTATAAAAACCACATAGTCACATGGAAATTGAACAGTAGTCTTTCTTTAATTTATTTTTTAGTTGAAGACAGACACAATATCTTTATTTATTTTTATGTGGTTCCATCCTTGATCGAACCCAGTGCCTCGAATGTGTGAGACAAGCGCTCAACCGCTGAGCTACAGCCCCCAGCCCCTGAACAGTAGTCTTCTGAACAAGGAATGGATCACTGTTAGAGGAGATATTTAAAAATTCTTAGAAGAAACAAAGAATTGTGAAACAATATACCAAATTTTCTGTAACACTACAAAAAACCTAAGGGTAAGGTTAAACTATTTAATGCCTACAATAAAAAGAACAAAGATCTCATATGAAAGGCTGGGGATATAGCTCATTTTATGGAGTG